CAATTTTGCTGTTATCATTCTCTGTTTTTATCAGAGCTCATATTGCAACTTTGTTGTTATTATTGCTTTTCTCTGGCACTCCTTATTACTGGTTCCCATATTGTCTTTATTTCACATATGCTAGGCCACAAAAATCTCCTGAGTCGGTCAGACTCAGGAGATTTTTGTGGCCTAGCATATGTGCTGATTCCTTTATGAATTTTCCAATGGTGTTCCTTGTCTATGATCTCAACCTGATCCCACAGAGGGCGGTGATCTCCCTTCTCTCTCCATATGTGGTCAGCCACGCCTGATTTTTCCACTTCCCCTCGTGTTACAGCTTTCTGGTGTTCTTGAAGCCTTACCTTGAGGGGGCGGCCTGACTCTCCTTTATATGTCTTTCCGCAGCTGAGTACCTTGATTTATTAATAAGAGGGTTGCTTTCTTTTAAAGAGCCTCCAGGATTTGTATTTTTTTTTTTTCCTTCTTAGGAATGACAGAATCTGTCAGAAATTAGTAAGGATAGTGTAGATTGGGATCATATATTTACATGTAGTACTTTGCTGAAAGAGATGACAGACCAATCACTATAATTAATGAACATCACTTTGGGCATTTGTATACTGCCTTCGATTAAACAATGTTCTATAAAACTGTATAAAATATCTAATAAAACAATCTTACATATCTTTCCTTTTTATTTTTTTTCTTAAGTATAAAGAAACTTACCATTGTTGATCATTCTGTGGGGCAAAATTCACCTGCTGGTTCATCCACTCCATTTATGGATTGGGGAAGCTGGAATTTTGGATTCTTCATTCTGATAGGGGGTGGAGTGCCTGCAAACAAATTTAGATAAAGTTCTGATCCCTGAAATCAATGAGGATATTTAAAATTTCAACTTTTTTTTTTTTTTAATGCTGAATTGAAATGTAAAAAGTATTATTTTCAAAGGATTGCTTTAGAAAGTAACTTTTTCTGATAATGTTCTTCTGAAAGAAGGAATGTGTTGTTGATCTCTCAGAAATATAGTTGGTTTGTCTTAAAAATTTCATTTTTAAGTTAGACCATGTAATAATTTCAGAATAATGGATCAAGAGGTGATCCCATAGTGAACCTATCAGTTTTTGAATGTTTCCAAAATTGTCATAAAAGGTTGGATTTGATTTAAGAGGATGGAGAAAGGATAGGTTAGAATTTTTAATATATTATTTTGTGAGTGCATGCATGCACATATCTAAGTGTATATGGATCGGTAGGTAGTTATTTTCTATATAATCATTTTTTAATGCTTTTCTCTGCATAGATTTTAGGTTTCTTGTAGCTCAGATCTGGATGTAAATGTTGATAGGAAGACTGTTTTCCAAATGGGAAGAAATTGTCTACTTGCAATAGATCATTGACTCTCCCAGGCTGGCAGGACAACAATGGGAGCAGGGAATGGCTCCAAGCTGTGTGAGCCTATTCATGGATGCCCTGGAACAAAATATGTTGAGTAGATATTAACTAGCACCCCCTGCACTAACATAGATACATAGACAATGTTGTCTTTGTATGGACACAGTGAGAGCAGTATCCATGACCTTAAAAAATATATTGACAATTTCCATCACACCATCAGGTTCACGATGGAATATTCCACCACTTCCATTCCGTTTCTGGATGTACTGGTACGTCTAGATGATGATCACATCTCCACTGCACTGTACACCAGGCCCATAGATGGTCACTGCTCCCTAAATTTCAGTGTCTGCCAACCTGAGAGAATCAATAATCTACAGCCAATGTTTATACATAGAACATATCTGTTCACAAAATGGGGTTTACAAAAAATGCATAGGACGACTCTTCGATTACTTTCTCAGTGGGAATTACCCACTTAGTCCTATCAAAAAATCAATCACTAAGACTTCCAAGCAGGGTGGAGATGCACTTCTAATCTATGAAAAGAAGAATTCCAGAATTTCCATGGTTTTTGATTTTAATTAGTGTTCACAGGCTTTCTTAAAAAGATTTCTGGTATTTAAAACTCGACCAGCTAATTAGATATTCAATGAGGACACACTCAATGCTAGGCATCACCCCGCCCCCCAGCCTGCACACACTCCTAACATTATCTGGAATACATGGTTTGCCACCTTTTATTAAAGGAATATTGCTTGCAATAGGCCTTGATGCCAAGTCTGTAGACATATCATCACTGATAGCATTTTTGCACTCATCCCTGGCACTTGGACAGGATTCAAACCTCCAACTTTGACTTGCGATAGTCCAAGTCTTATATATTTGCTTTTATGCCACAAATGCAAGAAAGGGGATTATATTGCAGCAACAGGCTCTGTATTCTATCTTCAGTTCAATAACCATTTAAAAAAAAAAAAAAAAAAAAATCATCAAAGATGACAAGAACAACAACAATTTACTTGTTGCTGCACACTCCAGCCATAACATTGATGACATCATATACATGCTTTTAAAGTCTTGATTTGGAAGCCTACAGGAGCGACACAGATCGGAGATAAAATGCATTTTCAAAATAGAATCACATATTAAAGAATTAAACCCAAATTTGAATTTACTCAGAGGAAATAGTCTCGACAGGGATCCCCCTAACCAACAATAATAACATTTCCTGAAAGAGTCAATCCTATTTCTCATCTTGTTGAGAAAGGACATAGGGGTGTCTGAAAATTTCAACTTTAAAATCTTACTCTTCATGCTTCACTTTAGTCAAAAGTTTAATATATAATAAATATCACCAATCATATTAACAATATCATTATCATTTTGTTGTCTTTTTATTCTTCATATTTCATTAAATGGCCTAATAAATCTACATAAGAAGCACACATGGACCATCTTTTGTTTTTAATCATATTTTGGACCTCTCACCTCACACAAATCTATTTTTTTCTTTTTATATATATATATTTATATATATATATATATATATATATATATATATATATATATATATATATATATATATATATATATATAATAAAATGGGCATGTATGCAACTGGTTAGAACATTCACTTTCTAACTATGATACTGAGTTTGAATCTCTTCATGGTTGATTAATCAGGAAGGTAACTTCTCAATGTTATTGACATGGGGAGGTGAACCCAACATGCAGCACCTTTTTGGAAAGTGTCTGAAAATCACGCCACAGGTTGACCCAAGCTTTGTGAGTGAAATTGGGCAGACAGAACTATTTGGGAGCCATCAATAGTTGTGCTAGCATAAGCCATCTTGACTGAGGGTTTGAGCATACCAGGCTTGTTCAGACTGTTTATTTTGCCAAATAATTCATTCTCTCTCTCTTCTCCATTCTCTCTCTCTCTCTCTTCATTCTCTCTCTCTCTCTCTCTCTTCATTCTCTCTCTCTCTCTCTTCTTCATTCTCTCTCTCTCTCTCTCTTCTTCATTCTCTCTCTCTCTCTCTCTCTTCTTCATTCTCTCTCTCTCTCTCTCTTCTTCATTCTCTCTCTCTCTCTCTTCTTCATTCTCTCTCTCTCTTCTTCATTCTCTCTCTCTCTCTTCATTCTCTCTCTCTCTTCTTCTTCTCTCTCTCTCTCTCTTCTCTCTCTCTCTTCTTCATTCTCTCTCTCTCTTCTTCATTCTCTCTCTCTCTTCTTCATTCTCTCTCTCTCTTCTTCATTCTCTCTCTCTCTTCTTCATTCTCTCTCTCTCTTCTTCATTCTCTCTCTCTCTTCTTCATTCTCTCTCTCTCTTCTTCATTCTCTCTCTCTCTTTCATTCTCTCTCTCTCTCTTCTTCATTCTCTCTCTCTCTTCTTTCTTCTCTCTCTCTCTTCTTCATTCTCTCTCTCTCTTCTTCATTCTCTCTCTCTCTCTTCATTCTCTCTCTCTCTTCTTCATTCTCTCTCTCTCTTCTTCATTCTCTCTCTCTCTCTTCTTCATTCTCTCTCTCTCTTCTTCATTCTCTCTCTCTCTTCTTCATTCTCTCTCTCTCTTCTTCATTCTCTCTCTCTTCTTCTTCTCTTCTCTCTCTCTCTTCTTCTTCTCTCTCTCTCTTCTTCATTCTCTCTCTCTCTTCTTCATTCTCTCTCTCTCTTCTTCATTCTCTCTCTCTCTCTTCTTCTCTCTCTCTCTCTTCATTCTCTCTCTCTCTTCTTCATTCTCTCTCTCTCTTCTTCTTCTCTCTCTCTCTCTTCATTCTCTCTCTCTCTTCTTCATTCTCTCTCTCTCTTCTTCATCTCTCTCTCTCTTCATTCTCTCTCTCTCTCTTCTTCTCTCTCTCTCTTCATTCTCTCTCTCTCTCTGGCCCTCTAACACACACACACACACACACACACAGAGCATAGTTGCAGTATAAGCCACTGTTGGTGTTTCTGGGTGTTTAACAAACACAAGTGTACCAGAGCAGGCGTCTGCATCAAGGACTGACTAGCCACCCTAGTAGACAGACATATTCCGATACAGCCAGCAGTGGCATCAATCTGTTTCATGCAATTGTTAGGTTGTGTTTTTGCTCAGCTATTTATCTGGTCAGCGATGCATTATGGGTAGACATATTGTACTCTAATGGTTATTTGGGTGGTTGGTAATGGTTATGTTTTGAATTATTTTAGGGGCTACTCATTGGAAATAATTGTGTATGATTTTTACTTGTGTAGATAAATTGTTTATCTATTTTTTATTATTTATCTATATATTTTTTTTTCTGGGTTGTTTTGCAGGCAATTCTCAAGTTTTGAGTTACCACCCGATGGGGAGGTTGTAGTAATTACTGACACTTACCGAAAACAGCAACATCATCATCATCAGCAACAGCGACCAATGGTGTCTCCCTGTCACCCTCAGTCCACACCTGTCCCTCTCGACATGGACACTGAAAATGTGCCTTTAAATTTATCTGTCTCCAACAATTGCAACAACAACAACACTACTAACAACAACAACTTATGCCTGACTTCTTCGTCTTTAGTCTCATCCCAACAGCAACAGTTGCGGCCTTCTGTGATAACATGTACATTCACCAATCGATATTACCCAAATATGAATTCCTATGGACCGGGCAACAGTCCAAGCAGACGAGAGCTAACATCAGGTTCGTATTTATTTTATTCTTAAAATAACTTTGCACAAAACATAATGCCTCCCCCATTTTTTTTTTTTTAAATAAAAAAAAAAAAAAAAAGATTCCTGACTTGCCCATATAAGAATACATCATATCACTATTCTATCAGTAACATATAATTTGACAACTTTCTTTCTGATTTTTCCCTGCATTTCCATAGTAGAAGCAGCGAGTAGTGCATTTATATCTAATATATAAAGCTCGGGTTTGTGTGTCTGTTCAAAACCCTGAAAATGAATCGAAACTCTGACATTAAATAAATGTAAATTTTAAGTTACCAGCATATGTCTAGCCCAACTTGGGGGGTTCTTACTCAAGGGAGATAAATCACTTGAATACTCAGCTTTAAAAATTAAGTTTTCAAGAAATATTTTGTTGTTTATTTCCAATCTAGTGTCTTGTGATTTTTATAAATAAGTGATTTGTTTTATTGATGGCTTTAATGATTGCTTACTTATTCAAATAAAAAAACTATTTTATTCCCTGGAAATTGTAGTAAACTTAGCATTTAAATCAGTTTTGGAGTAAAGAGAAGCAATAAATATTGATATTTTTTAATAGTTTATTTTGAAAATCTAACAAATATAAATTATATATCTGACAGAAATGGCTACCAAAATGTTGAAACCTATTCAACTACTTTAAATATGACAGTTTTACATCTGCTATAAAATGGCATGTGCAAATATCTGAAATAAATAAACTATCATTACTAGTTATACATTGACATGCCAAAAGTTACAGGTTTGGAGGCATAGTAGAGTAATAGCTTGCAGCTCTGATTGAAGAATCAGAGAGCTGAGTTCAAATTCCAATTGAGTTCATCACATTCACTTATGTGGTAATACCCTTGGGGAAAGGCAAGAATCCATCTCTTCTAAGCTATGTGCAAAGAAGAGGACAGACTGGATTCTGTAACCTTGGTTGACAACTGGTCTAGGAGAATTCAAAACTGTATGTAGCCCTGGCAAAGCATATACTATGCAGCTAAGGAGAGGATCGTTTGTATTGACTTGATGATCCTGATTATAGTCAACTATTTATTTGGTGCCTCAACAACAAGACATGATTGGAAAAACTCGGGGGGGGGGGAATGTTGCACCATGACATCTTGGTAGCTGTCAACCCTTTTCAAAAATGTTCACTTGATGGGAATATAAATTTTTTATACAGAGTGTGGCAGAAATACCTCCTCACTAATGGTAAGACATTAGTGGCAATGATTTCTTCATCTAGCATTATCTGGGTGATATATGTAGGAGGTATTTCTACCACATCTTGTACAAATTGATTTATATAGTCTCTTATGGTCTTGCTTGGTGATTTAGATAGTGATTTTTGTTAATGGATGATATTTCAGCCTGGATAAAACTCTGATTTTGGGCACTGATTTTTAAGGCCTTCTTGACAACTGAGACAATTGTGCATTTCTTTCCTGTGTCAAAATAGGATTATAGATGGTGATTTTTCAAACCCGACCCGGTCTTCTGGCATGATTAGTGCAAAACTTCTTGTTCTTAATCTCTCTCCTAGTGAGAGTTAGTAAGACCAATTTCCCCACACTTGTGGCCTTGTGTTTATTTTGTGTCACTCCTTGTTGAGCCCACTCTACCCCTATGACAAGCAGTGTGGTATAGAGAATTGGATTTACTAACCAGGCTGTTTTTCAATTGCTTTTGCACTTAATTCTACCAGCTCAGACCTTTTACAGATAACTCATCATAGCATGTCCAAAGGGGCAAAGCATCTTCATTCCCTTTGCATTCCATTGGTAAGGATTTTCCATTTACACAGCTTAAGAGCTGCTGCTGCTTTGTAGGACAGACTCTCAAGAGAATACCTCCCTGACCACTCTTAAAATCTAAGGTCAATGATTATTTTTCCTACATATCCTCATAATCTATAAATCTTTTAAGCCAATGTATCGGTCTGTGGATGTTCACCTATCTCGAGAGTTACTGCCCACTGATCTTGTTGTTGAGGTAAGCTCCTTTGGGTGATTATGGTTTTGTCTAGCTCCAACCCATTGACCTGTCTGGCTAGGTTGTGTCTGCCAGAAAATAAACACATGCTACCGTATCTCTCTGGAGCATGCAAGCCATTTCACTGCATCAATATACTTAATCATGGAGCATATCCTTGTGTCAGACTTTTAAACTTAATAATTAATTGGGTACCTATCAAGTGGGTAAGGGTTAAAAAGGTTATTTCACAGACCAATTTGTTGACATAGTAAGGTCAGACCACATTGCTGTGGTCTTTTACCAAAATCTGCACAGAATTCTGACTGATAATTAGCCATTAGAAAAGGAATTTTACAATAAATGAAACGGATTGTTAAACTGAATTTCCTTCAAAATAATGAAATATTTAAAATTCTAGGAATGTCTGATCCAGAAGAACATTTCCGTCGATCTCTAGGAAAAGATTACCAGAAATTAAACCAACAGTCCCCAGTTGAGCCATTGGCAAAACAGATATTAGAAGCAAACGTTTCAGGTAAGTCAAAAAGATCTACTTTCAATCATTAGTTCATTATACCAAATGCTGACTATGGGAAGGTATTGGAAAGTTCTTAGCATGATGAAAACAAAAAAAAACACGATCTAATGTTTGGTCATCAATTCACTATGTGCACATAGCAGTATACTAAATGTTTAAAATGTTTAGAAGATCTTGTAGCTTACTAAATTTTTTTTTTTTTTAAACTAGTATTCAAGGAAATTGATTCAAAATAGTCCTCAATTTCCTTTTAATGGTGAATCAAGTTCCCTGAATACTGGTTCTGTGTAAAAAAAAAAAAAAAAAAATAATATGAAGGTTTATTAGAAAAGTTTTAGATTCTCAAACAGGAGCCACTTGGCACTGAGTGGGTAGGAGGAATAAAAGATTTAAGTTTTAACCATTTAAGGATTTGTGTCTGAATTGCAATGGAAATTTTATGATTGATTAAAGATGATTTTTTTTTCTCCATTTCATTGCTGAGATTAAACCAATTTGAATTGATACAAGCAATGTTTGATCAAATTTTGAACTGAAATTTTCACTCTATAATGCTTGCTCAATCTGATAAACGGAGAAAGATTAAAATGTATTGACAAGGAGATTGTTGAAAATGTATCAAATGTGTGGGTGTGATAAATCTGTAAAAGGAATTCAGTATTTGGTCAAGTCTATATTTATTGCACTATCATTTATTTGGTAAAGGCATGAATCCAATTTTCCCTGTATTTTATCAGATCATGCCAGAATGTCATATCACTGATATATCACAATAGTTGATAAAGAGTGGGTGGGTTAGTGAATATTTTAAGCCACAATATTATCTTAGCTACCCAAGTGACAGCAGAAAAAAGCCATTACTATCTAAATCAACTATAATGATGTGTGTACATGCATACACATAGTTACACTTATGCATATTATGATATATAATACAGAGTGCCCCACAAAAAAATCAAGAAATTTGGTACAGTATATTTAATTGTTGGAATTTTAGTTATAGTTATTTGAAACAAAAGCAAAGGCTAGAAATTTAGTTGCTTAAAGCAACAAAAACACAAATGTTAAATGTAGCAAAAAATTTCTTGGCATTTTTTTCAGTCCCCAAGTTGGATGCTCTTTTGTAGAGAGAACAATCACCTCACATTGAAAATCTGATAACTGCAGTATCCTGGAATAACAAATGGTTAAAAAAATTTGTTAGTTAATTTTTTTTTTTTTTTCATCATAGAGGAAATTCTAGATTTACTATATATACATGTATAATTATGTGTGCGTGTTATGACTGATGCGCTATTTTAAGTGATGGTATTGTGTGATTGATTTTCAAATAATGACATTACAGATGTGACGTTTTAGCCCTGCTAGGGACTTACAATCTCTTGTGTAGATGTGTCAGTGTTCAGCACCTTCAGTACTTTACATATTTTGAACTTTCACATGAAATTTTAGTTCACCAACTGAGGCATGATTTCTTTATCACTTGATAAGACACAGTGTGTGTTGAAACAAAATGGCTATTTTTGTAGTGATTTTATAACATACTTATGTTATAATTTTTTTATAAAAAATAATTATATATATATATATGTGTGTGTATATATATATATATATATATATATATATATATATATATATATATACTATTTAATTTCCTTTTTATATATTTTTTTCTTTTTTTATAGTTGGTTCCACTGATACAGAACCTGACAATTTATGTAATCGACGTTTGATTCTCCTCACAACACAGGATAATTGTCGTGAGTATATCAAAACGCAATCATTCTCTTGCCTGATGATTTTTTTTATTGTCATCAATAATATTAAAATAACACCAATGATTAAAATACAATTTATAAGTGTTTCTCTAATCTGTTGATAAACACAAATGTATATCTTGCAATTTTTAGAGAATTGCATAAAATGAAATCTCCTGAGTAGAAGTCCAATACCTTAACAGAAGTGAGGAACAAATTCCATTCTTTTAGTTGAGAAATAAAGTAATTCTCAAACTTACTGTGATTTTTGGTTCCTTTATAATTTTTTGATTCATTGGCCCTAAAAAAGAATCTGACCAACCAGTGGCTGGAATAAATGGTTATGGTTAAATATAATTGATAAACTTCTCAATTAACAACGACAATAATAAGAGAAAAATGAACAACACAAAATAATGATACGCACCTCTCTCTCTCTATATATATATATATATATATATATATATATATATATATTTATTTTATTTATTAATCCAACAGATTTTTATTACTTAAACATTATTTTAAGTAGATACTCATATTTGAATAGATGCAGGGTCGTATCCTGCTGAAAAGTTGATATTTTTCTCTAATATGATTTCTCAAATATTCAGGCCAGTAGATGAAAATAAATATGCTATTTAATAAACATGGTTGTCTACTCAAATACAAGTATCCACTAAAAATCACGTTTTAATAAAAATATATTTGATTTATGGCTCCTACTTGTCCTTAGAGATCACAACACATTTTCTTTACATAGTTTTGTCTTTCATTTTAACCTGAAGAAGCCAGAGGGAGTAACATGTTTTGCTGAGTGTGTCTGCTCCCTCTGGCTTCTTCAGGTTAGAATTAATGACCAAACTATGTAAGGAAAATGTTTTGGGATCTCTAACAATAAGTGGTGGGGCCATAAATCAAATATAGCAACTTTAGGGCAGTATTAAATCTAAAAGTTCTAAAATTAGTACACACACACATACACAAAAAGGGATACAGTCAAATGGTCATAGCCTTCTGAAATTAAGGCAAGAAAGAACAAAAATAAAGGGATAAGACTGAGATTTATCCTCTATTTTATTTGTTAGGAAGAAATATCAGCATACATCTATAGGATTTGTCTCTATATTTGAGGAGAGGAGTTTTGTTTTTTTTTGTTTTTTTTATCAGTCATTCCTATCTGTTGTAATCAACACAATGTTTTGCATACTAACATCCCATTTCTTTACCTCTAAATTTTCCATTTTTGGAGCCACAAATCCACTTCGTTTCAGAACTTGAGAAAACAGCAAAGATAAGATTGTATATGTGTAATAATGAGGATGCTTAATTGGATACCACACTCTCAGCTCTATTATTTTATATGTCTATACTATTCGTTCAATATTCTTACATATGGTAAAACTATATGATTTGATGTCTTGAAAGATGAAACACATCACATAAAAACATTCTCATATATGTACTTAATTATTTGTGGAGATAAAACCAGGTGGAAGTTTTTTCAGCTATCCATTTCCCCATATATGGTAGGCATTCTTAGTTTGGAATGGGAGACAAACCTGTATGCAGTTGAGGGGTACTGGAAGGTTGTTGGAATATAGGGAACAGGTAAAAAAAAGTCCTTGCTAAATGTAGCCAAAAGGTTTTTTGTACGCAGATGAATTTAAAATTTAGCCCAACACAAGGAGATTGTTTGTTTGTTTGTTTGTTTTTTTTTGTTCTTTTGTTTTTTTGTTGTTTTTTTTTTGTTCTTTTGTTTTTTTGTTGTTTTTTTTTGTTCTTTTGTTTTTTTGTTTTTTTTTTGTTCTTATTTCTTTTGTTTTTACTTTTGTTTTTACTTTCTATGTAAATTAAGTATTTAATTATTTACCATTTTGTTTTAATTTAATTTTTAATATATCTGATTGTAACCAATTGCACTAATGATATATTCTGATTTATTTCTGACATAAGGCATTTAAAAATTATTTAGTATCAAGCACTAATGAAGGTAGTAGGAGCAACTTTCTGGAGGACTTTGTCGAACAATTATTTACACCATTTACATTGTTCAGACTGTTGTCCTAAATCTTTATTGCCATATTCACAATGTTTCAGCCGTTGTATGCTCTGACCTTCTTCAGGTGATATACATTGGAATTTTGATCCCTTTATTTAGTCCACAGGGGTAAATTGTTCTAATTCAATGTGCCATGCATTTTTTTGATATCTTGGTATCCTCTTCAAGTTATTGTTCCCTCTGGTGTAGCTAAGTATTGAACACAACTTTTTGGGTCAAGTCAGTTTTTGTATTACTCAACCAACGCCACAGCAGAGGAATCGAAAACTTGGAAAGGATACTGAAATATCTGATAACGGCATTGAATTAATCCAGTTGAATAAATTATTCTAACTAAATGGTTGGGTTTGAAATTACAACATATCATCTGAAGAAGATCATAGTGTACAATGGCTGAAACATTGTTAATATGGCAATAAAGATTAGGACAACAGTAATAAACAATTATTTACACATCTGAGCATCATTGCTGCACTTTAAAATTTTTAATGATCTGATCAAAGTAGCACAAAAAGAAGAAAATGTAAAAAAACTAAGAAGACCAAAGATTATATTGGATGAAATGTCTCATAAGAAACAATGATGAAAGTAAAATTTAATTTATAAATTATAGTTGAATAAAAATTAATTTTTTTTTACAATTAAAGAAATTAAAATATTTTATTTATTTTTTCCAGCCTCAGTAGATGATCATTTCGCAAAGTCTCTCGGTAACAGCACCTGGTCTGCAATCAAAGCGAAGAGAGACGAATCTACCGAGTCTGTTGATGACCATTTTGCCAAGGCTCTTGGAGACACGTGGCACCGGATCAAGGCCGAGAAAGAGAATAATTGTGACACATTACGGTCATCTTCCCCTTTACAACAACCCTCTGGTGTGTCATCATAAATTGTTGAAATGCCTACACACCTGTACATATTACAACCACTTAATTCTGTCTTTCAGTCTGTCACACAAAAACTGCTAAATCCCTTGCCTCCAGATACAGGTTTTATCTAAACAAATTGCTAATAATAATATCTACACATTATTTTTTGTATATAATATATGCATACACACACATTGCATTCACATAAAATCACATGCATATACATAAAATAAGAAAAGATCCCTGTTTATTTCCGTACACACACACACACACATTATATAAAGAAAACAAACCCTTGTATACTTTGTTCTCATTTATGCACATAGACTTCCTGTTTATCACAAACTTGACCAGATGCATATTTTTGTATAATGGTCAAATAAAATTGTCTTTCTATTGATTCTACCTAATCACTAAACTCTTTTCTGGTCACTTTCTTAGTGTGTATTATTTTTCTCTACCCCAGTTGCCTGTGCATTTACCCTGCCCTGTCTGCCTACCTGCCTGTCTATGTGCATTTCTCTCTCTTTTAACATCTGTTTGTCTGCACCTGTTGGGTGGAGCTATATTTCTCCCTCTCTTCTTTTTTGGTGAGAATGCTTCTCTGCTCATTTTATAAAATTAGGTTCTATCAGATGCTCCAAAACTCTGACCCTTTGCCAGACTAAGACTTGATCTCTTTCTTTCTCCGTAATTTTTTTTTTTTGTTCTTTTATGCTTTCTATCACAACTGTTACTGTCTAAAGTATGTGTGTCTGTGTGTTAAAATCTCTTGCATATTTGAATATTGCTCTCACATGCATGGACATCTACATGGGTCCAGAAATCACGACATGTGGCCTCTCTCTCTCTCTCTCTCTCTCTCTCGAATACATGGTCTATCCAGAACTTGTCCAGCTATCTTGAATTTGTGAACTAATGTAACTTGAAAACATGGCACTTTTGCTGTGCATGCATGAAAAAGTACTTTGAAGAGTACTAATAACCTAGGTAGGCTATTCTTTTTTTCATTACTGTTGACTGGACACTTTCTATGTGGACCTTGTATTTTATGATGTTGCATTTTTGTGGTGGGAATAAAGAACTGTTTAACCCTTTTTAAATTTATTTCTCAAGAACATAATCCTTATTAGCAGTGACAGAAGCCCAGTTCAAACTAAATCATTTTTTTCCTTGGGATTCGAGATAAAAATAAAAACTGCAATGAAAAATAAACACCCTATTCAACATTTAAACCAGAACATTAATGCTGAAAGTTAAATTTGTCAAGAACATAATCATTATTGACAATGACAAAAACCCATTTTGGACAAATTCTTTTAGTTCTTGTTGAAAGAATTTGGGATTCTGGACAAAAAAAAAGAAATGACCTCTGTTGACATCTAAACCAAAGCTCTGTCCCTGAAAGTTAAATTTGTCAAGAATATAATCATGATTATTAGCAATTAAAAATCCTTGTGGGGAAACTAATTCTTTTATTCCTTGTTGAAAGAATTTGGGATTCTGAAAAAAAAGTCCTATATCAACCAACATTGAAACCAAAACTCTAAACTAAAAAGTTATGAACATAACAATCTTTGTTGGGAACTAATTATTTTTTATTTCTTATTAAAAGAAATGGGGATTCTGGATTTTAAAAAAAACCTATTCATCATTTAAAATCAAGTTCTAACCTTAAAAGTTAAATTTACCAAGAACATAATCCTTGTTTTTAGGAATTCCAAAAGACCAGTGGGGAAACACATTCTTTTATACCTTGTTGAAAGAATCTGGGATTCTGGATAAAAACCATTCTAGTCGTGCTGAATTGATCTCTTCCAGACTTCTCAAAGAAAGTGATTTCGTGAATTGATTAAATGATAATCTTGATCTTAACCCAGTTGATACAGTAAAATGTCCCAACTTTGAGTTGATCTTCTCTTGAACCTGTTTTACTGAGTTTGAGCTTGCATTGTTATTTTTAAGAATATGACACTTTTTTGTAGACAAATCAAGGTACATTTTTTTTAATATAAATTTTCACTTTTCTTCATTTAGTTTAAAGATATTCTAAACTTGTAAGAGAAGAAAATTCCAACAACTGTTGATCAAGACCTTACTAGAGGTGGCACTTTGGTTTCAATATTGAAAAAGGAATTTTGTCCAGAATCTATTTTGTTTTTTTTTTTTTTTGTTTTTCAATAAAGAATAAAAGAATTACTTCACTCTGTCTCCTAATAAGATCTGTAGGATAATGATTAACAATTCAGAATGAGAAATTGGCAAGTTTGAATTTCAGCTTAGTTTATGTTCACTTTCGCACAAATATTCTTGGGGAAAAGAATGACTCCATCTCTTCGCCGCCACCCCACCCACCCCAGCTATGGGTGAAATAGTAGGGCTGACTGGGCTCTTTTGCCTTGAGGTGGCAACCAATTAGAAGGAAAACTTTGTTCTTCAAGCTGATTTTGAATTCAATGTGCTCTATTGGGCTATCTTGCCCTGACACCACTGGTTGCAGTAAGTGTGGTAACCCTTGATGGGTTATGGGAATCATGACATGGCATCCCATAATAGTTGTTACATTAAATGTATGAAATGTGTATGTAAATGTACCAACTATTATGGGACAGATGTGGGCATTTTATCATTTATTATCAATGTTCTTGACAAATGTAACTTCTCTTTGAATGGATTTTTATTCAGTCTCCAAAAATGCTAAATTATTTCTCTCATGACTATTGTACAAAAAAATTACATACAAACAAAAAGAAAATGCATAGACACCAAAATGTACACTGTATATATTTAATAAATTTCTCTTTCTGACTTTTCTGTTCTTAATCCAAAACCAAAAAAAAAAAAAACGAAAAATAAACTCTTCCTTGGTTACAGTCAGTTCTCTCAAAAATGCTCTGAAAGCAGAAATATTTTCTGAAACAAAAGAAAAACCCTGATGACTTCTCAGATTCCAATAATCAATTCCATCTCGACTGTGAGTGATCCACAACCAGACACTGTCACCCTACAGAGTACTCAGACTGCTGGCCAGTTATTGTCATATCCTGCTTCCTTTGTCTACAATCCTTATCCCAACCCCTTCCTCTTTAATGATACAATCCTTGGCCAAAACGCCCCCCCCAACACTTAAATAAAGTGAATGCTGTTTGTCACCAAAAACTCTCCCTTGCATTTGTGTGCAAATGGACAGAATTTTTTTTTTTTTTTTTCAAAAAAAAGTGTATAATAAAAAAAAAGGGAAAATATTACGATTTCTTTTTAAAGAAAGATATTTCTCATTTGTTTATTGTTTATTTTATCTGAATTTCATACTTTATTTTTTGCATTTTTATCCGGCTGTTCTCTCACTTTTGTCTCTCAAAACAACCCACCCACCCCACTCCCCGTTTCACTTTCAGACCCCTCTACCTCTCTCTCTAATTCTACCCCTCTCTCTCTCTTAAACCTCTCTCTCTTAAACCTCTCTCTCTCTCTTAAACCTCTCTCTCTCTCTTAAACCTCTCTCTCTCTCTTAAACCTCTCTCTCTTAAACCTCTCTCTCTCTCTTAAACCTCTCTCTCTCTCTTAAACCTCTCTCTCCACTACACATATGTTAGAACTTGTAGTGGAAACCTAATCAATATTTATTTTTTACATTTATTTTTTTTTTTCCCTACCCCATGCTCAGACACAATTCACTTCCCCTCATTGTTTTTCTAATCAGCAAAGTCTTTTGGCAAATCTTTTTCTGTAGAAATTCAATATGTATTAGAAATTCCAATATGCAATGATGGAATATTTGTATTTCAAGGGAGGCAACTGTTATTTTGGTCCGCATCAACCCACAAATACAACCTATTTGACATAGTATTTTATTCAGTTGTAGTCTTCATGGGAGTGCCCCCAACCCCAGTGCACTGGCCTTTTTATCCTGTGTGGTTGAGGCTGTTAACATTTCATATATGATGATCAATTTTCATTTCCTTTGGGATCACCAGTTTATTTTTCACTTAGAAATGAAGTTTTTTTTTTTTTTTGTAGAATTTGGATTTTGAGCTAAAGTTGATCTTTTTGTCTTTTACTATATATGAAATTTTCATTTCTTCAAAAAAGTATGTCATATTTAAGGAATATTATTTTAATAAAACCTTAAATATTAATTTTATAGTATTCCTTAGAATTTTTGAGATGAGGAATTGTCATTCCTTCTGGCATTCTTCAAGTGTCTGTGTTGCTAACCTTTTTGGAACTGTCTTCATTCATTCAATCCACAGAAATAGTGTTCTCGTTATACTTTCCCTGCTTAGGGGAGATAACTCCATCAGTTAACTCACCAGGCTTATTCACCTTCCACTTGTCAGTTTCTTCTACTGAACCAGAGTATGTCATTTCAGCACTACCAGACCGAAGGATTTATCGCAAAATTGCAAGGGAATCAAATAGGTTTTAACCAATACTTTTAATTCAATAGTCCAGGTGTCAAAAATTAATAATGCTTGACAATGTTTTATTTAATAAACAAGTTATGATATTACTAAAATTGCAATTGAGCTCTGGTAAAAAAAATAGTTGCCGAAGACATTAGGTTTATAATACCCAGAAATTCATACACAGATGTCCTCAAGAGTGTGAGTTCAATACCCGATTAACGTGGTGGAGAACTTGGAGAGGGGAATTAACAGGAGGTAACTGGCAGCTGACATCCATTAGACATGGCATGTGGGACTAGAACAGTCTACCCCAGTGAGCAAAATCAAGGGTTCAGTTTGACATTCCAACCACCTGAAAAAGGCCGGAAATGTAAATATAGCGACAAAGATGAGGACAATAGTCCAAATAATGTAAATAGTGTACCAGCATGACAGTTCTGATCACAACAGACACCTATTCATGGCTTCTTGGAAATCTTCATCTGTTGTTCCAGTCTTTAAGAACTCCAATGTACTGTCCAACCTTTTCACCTATTAGCCTTCTATCTCTTTTTGGTAAACTACAAGAGGCCCTAATCAAAACTGAATTAGTTAAGCATCTCACATCCCAGAGCCACCTTTTAGACAAGCAATATAGCTTTCATTTCTCTTAGTCAATTGCTGATGTATTAACAATTATTGCAGAAACGGTCTCTCAAGTTTTAGATAAGAATAGTGAAGCACAGGATGTTTTGGACATCTTGAAAGCATTCAACAGGGTCTGGCATACTGGTCTTCTTCACATGTTGAAAAGTTATGCCTCCAGATGAATTTTTGAACAGATCCAGTCTTTCTCATCAAATTGTGAAATGAATGTTATCTTAACGGACACTTTTCTCCTTTTGTACTAATTCGGGTGTCCACCCACCTCAGGGCTCTATCTTCGTTTTTCAGTAACAACCTTCCTGATGGCATCAGCTCTAAACTTGATATGAACGCTGTAAAATGTTGAAACTTTGTCACCAATCTAGTACTACACTTAAATTCATTAAGTCTAGGTACCATAGAGGAAAGTCCATTAGAACATTACCAAGAAAATATTTATAGAAAAGGGTTGGGGGGAGCTGTGTTACAGTAGTGGGAAAGTGACTGGAGGCAAAATGCCAGTTCAGGACCAATAACATTGAAGATTTTTATTGATACATTTAAGACCAACTGTTCTATAAATGTTTTAGAAAAGATTAGATATCTGGAGTGGGGTGCTGAAATTTTTTTTTTTTTTTTTTTTCAGATGGAGAATTTTTTTAGCATTTCATTGTATATTTAAAAACAAAAAAAAATGTTGCTTTTTACTATGTGAGGTTTCAACTCCTTGATTGACTCTTCCTAAACTTTTTGCGTCTTTGTTTTTTTGTTTTTTTTTGTGAGGAGAGAATAAAAAAACAAAAGTAATCCTCTTATAGATTAGACAGCAGACAATCAGAATGGATCAGAAAACAAAAAATATCTACAAATAAAGGTTAGTCCAAACATTTAAAATAAGATTAGTTCATCTCAGAATTAAAAATATATCTTTCATATACAGGTTGTGATGGGTAAATTGTCGCTATTTCATATTTTTAATTTCATGCATGCGCATTGTTTTTGACTTTGTTGATTGCAAAATATAGTAGGGTCAGTTTGACACCATCTGTGAGAAAAAGAGCACCATGATGCAATTCACTCTGTCAGAAATTTGGAAACTGTATGATGTACTGCTTGGCATTCGCACCAGAAGCTCCAATATGAATATTTCAGAGTGTTTGAGTGTCAATCTGAGGACAGTGAAGAGGATTCAGAAAAAGTTGGTTCAGTCTGATGGTGATTACAAAGGTGTTTGGAGTAATCACTAGTGACGGTGACATTGTGCCTCCATCCATCTTTCTACAGGGCCTCAGACTCAACATGGAGGGCTGCATTAAGGATGTAGTGCCACCCTGGGTCAAGAGGGTGGGCATTGGAAGACCCTGTGTCTGGCAACAGGACTCTAAACCTTGCCACACAAACGGGAGAACCTAGTCATGGCTGATACAATTTCTGCAACCACATCACCCCTTAGATCTGGCCACCTAACTCTCCAGATTGCAACCCCCTTGATTATTATGTGTGGCAAGAGACCAACAAAACTTGTAATACCAAAGATGAACTGAAGGCAAGGATTATGGCAGCATTCGCCAACTTAAACAATATCAATCTCTCAAATGTTCAAACTGCTTGCCCCATCATTCACACACTCCCTCTTTACCTGCAAAACATTTATTATTATTTATTAAAAAAATCATTATAAATGTATTATTATAATGAAAATAAAAATATTAAAAATGATTTTTAAGGAATTAAATGAATTTAAGTATTAAATAAATCCTAGAACCACTTATAATACTGGTAATAATGGTATAATACTTACTGTATACCTACTTTTGCAGCCCCCCCTGTATTAATATGGGATAACAATAAATAAATTTTTTATATATCAAGAACCATTTTGTAAGAAAGATGTATGACAAAGTGGAAAAAGTTTTTATGTTTCATCCTTTACGACTTCAACCTAGTCTGATGTAGTCCAAAAGGCCAGAACACGTCACACAAAAAAACCTTTTCCACTTAGTCATCAATGCTATTATAAAGGAAGCACTCAGAAAAGAAGAAATTAAATTCTTGGAGGAAACGTATGAAAAAGTAGACCAATTCTTGCGTGGAAGAGCTGATGGTGTTGACTGCATAGTAATGTAGATGGGCAACAAGTTTGATTTTGTCAAGCCTTTCTCTCTCGTCATTTTTATTTTCCTTTTCTCTTCTGGTGGCTTCAAAGTTTTTGGTTCCAATGGTAATGGAACATCAATCTTGGGTTTGTGTTTCAAATGATTTAGGCTCAAGTCCAGTGACTTTCAATGTTGTTTTCAGCTGATCCTTGTATCTTTGTAGAGAACAATCCCATAGTCTTTTCCTGGAAGTGAATAATATTAATAATAAAGTTTTGAAATCCTGTAATTTCTTTGATATTAAAAAGAGAAAAATCTGCCTCATTTACTTTTTACAAATGTTTCATAGCATGTCTGTATGTGTAATGATATATTTATTTGCTATTGTGGCCATGTTGCTGCATACCTCTCTGAATGCGACTCTTACTTTAGTCCATCTCTGGCAAACCCACCCTGCACCAATCCTGTGTTGTGTTTTAGTATCTACGGGAATATTGATGAAGATTTACAGAGGATTATGCACGACTCTTCTCTGTCATTTGTGAAATACTAACATTGCCGGTAAACTTAATTAACTTCAACAACACTTATTAACAAGTTTAAAATAACAACTTTTATTTATGGTAGTATGACTAAAAACATGAATACATAAACAAAAGGGATTTGGAGAAGTTTCCCCATATAAGGAATTCTTGAGCTGGAAGGAAGAAGTTGACTGGCAGTTGCAGTTATAACTAAACAGCCCTGAATCGTTCAACTATTTAAAGAAAGGCAGTTGATCAAGGGAATTCAAAAAGTGGCATAGAGAACAGGACTTTAACTGATTGAGGCTCCACAGTCATCTGGCAGAAAAATGTGTTGGTCTACTAGCAGTGAGACCAGTTCAATCTTATTAATGCTCTTTCAGCAACTGCTTTTATGGGGATTCAAACTCCACTTGCACTACTTTGATTGGCTAGCCAATAATAATGCTTGACCAATGGTCTTGTGTCATATGCCTTGAAGGGAAGGAAGGTAGGAAAGCCCCCCAAGTCCAATCAAAATAATGACCCTGTGTTATAAGTATCGGAGGAGGAGACAAAAAGCTCCATCCCAGCCCTTCTCTTATTGGCAGGCCAATCAAAATTGTAGCCTTGTATCAGTCATATCCACCTTCAGTGGCACATTTTCCATGTTCCAGAATTTCACCCTCATTTGACCTGATTATCACAGGTGTCATTGTCACTGCCATCTGACAGTGTGTCATATCCCAGGTCAAAACAAATCTGACCTGTAAAGATTTACTTTGTGTCACACATTTCAACTAATAATTCTTTTATCAAATGAAAACAAAACTCAAGTTCAACAGACCTAAGACTACCAAATGA